CTCCGCCCCTGAATGTAACTGTTCAAGCTCATGATCTTTAGGAAGAATAATATTTCCCTCAACCAATAAAATCACTCGATGAGTTATACTTTATGAATTTTTAAGTTTTATTCTATGTCAAGATCTCATTTTCTTCCTCATATTAATAAAATCAAACAAAAAATATTTGTCAAAAACTTCATTTTAAAAAAAGAAAATTTGAATATTATTTTTATTAAATTCACAATATATTCCAAAATTAACTGGTAAATGATGTGAAATATTATTATAAAGTTGTTTTGTACGTTTCTCTTGGAAAGGAATGACATTAAAGGGATTTTAATTTGTGTGGTTTTAAGACAATGATTCCATTTGATGATAGTGAAATGGTCCCATTAATGGCCATTTAATTTTGTGAGGTAGTCTCTTATTATCAATTTGTGTGACCTCTAGCTAGGTCATGAAATATACTTAGCTATTGTCTTATCATAGAGAAAAAGACTCCCACATTTAATATTTCCTAAATATTTGGTTTCTATTTAAATATTTAAAAATAATTATGTTCATTTAAAATATAAATAATTTAAACATTTAAATTAGTTCTTAAATTAACTAAGCATGTACAAGACAACTAATGGAAAAGATATATGTATCGATTATCAATTGGTCAGTGCTTTGAAAATTTTATATATCATTCTATATATATATAAAAAAACTTAAGGAATGAGATATTAATTATTACCTTTTCAACCCTACTTCTTATATAGTTGAAAGAAAATAAATAAAATATCTTTCTTTATTTAAATATTTTAAAATTGTTATCTTTCATTGTCTAGGAGATCAACCCATCTTTGTCAAATGAAAAAAAAAAAGAAGATAAGGCAAAGATCGCTATAGCATGATAATTGAAAAAAATAATAATATTATTATATAATTTAAATATTTATAATTCTTTTCTAAGCCAAACATTTGTCAAGTAGGTTATAGATTAGCAATAAATTGAATCAGGTGATGGGTTGCTTATAGATATAATAAAATATATTTAGTTTATTAAATTATATTATTAATAATAAATTGTTCAAAATAGTAATACGGGCCCATATATTTCAACTCTTATCGACCAATTATTGAGCATTCATACCTATTAATGCTATAATGATAATATAGCTCTCTAATTATATTGTTAGTCAATATACAATTGAATATTATTATTTCAAAACTTGGAGTTTAGTACGATAATAACCTAGTGGCCACTTTTTAGTTGAACTATGCATTTATAATCACATTGCATGCTTTTGATTGCATACCAAAACTCTTCATTTTTTTAAAAAAAAAAAATCCGAAAGATCATATTATTCGAGTAATAAGATTATATGTTAATCATCGTTCGAACTCTAAAACCTAACTAACTAAAAAGATGAAGACGAAGAAGAAGAAGAAATATATGCATAATCATCCATAAAAAGTTCTGCAAGTTTCAACGAGGAGTTCATCATATATTATTCATCAGTTTTATTATAAATTTCTTTTTCTACAGCAAGTTTCCACCTCCCTCGTAAATATATATGTAACTATATATGATAAAATTTACCTATGGCCTGAAGAGATTAAATTTGTGGGGGCTACATGTTTACTCTCAAAGAAACAATGAGGCCCGACTCTTCTAATCTCTGACCTAATAAAACAAAATCTTAATCTTTTTTTTTATCCCAAATGCTTCATCAGTCATCACTATAATTGGCGACAGTATATCAAGAACTATGTAACACGGACAAGCTCCCAAACTACTTGAAAATTTTGATTTTCTATGTATAGATTGAGTATGTATCGAGTACTCCTACCTAGAGATCGAATTAAAAGTACCAGTTGAGCCCCGGAAGTTGATGCGGAGGACGGAACATCCCATCTCCGAACGCTCCTAACATTGCTTGCTGTTGTTGTTGTTGTTGTTGCAACGGAGGGGTTGGCGGTAGCTGGCTAAGAAGAGTGGCGATGGAACCGTTACCGTCTGTTTTCTCCAAGCTTTCACCGTCGTTACTATCCCCGTGGAATCGCTTGCTCGTCGAAGGCCCTGTAGTTTCAGCTTCGGTCCAGTAAAGAGACGGGAGTGTCCGTTTGAGAGGGTTGCCCATGGATAAGTCTCCCTTTGAGCTTGAACATCCCAAGTGATGAGAAATGGAACCATTGTTGATCCCATCGGTACTCCCTAGCATTCCATCGAACATGCTATGTTCTTGAGCTTCAAGCAATGTGCCGAAGCTTGTTCCCTTTGTCAAGAACTGGAATTTCGTATTGTGATGGCTGCCGATCGATATCGAAGGCGCTACGGTGCCGAGCATGCCATCTATGGAGTCATCTTTATCATGGTCCAGAGGTCTGTTCGTGTTGTTCTTCTTGTAAATTCGACATAGCACACAATCATCAAGCTACAAACAAGAAAAAATGAAAGTTTAGAAACAATCAATTTTTTCATACATCATATAACAGTAAAATGAATAAAATCTGACAAGAAAGGGATTTACCCTTAGTGAATTTTTCTTGTTGCCCAAGTCACATCCAGGGGGTTTGTTGTTAGTCTTATTATCAGCAAGTCGATACTCATGCATGATCCAATTAGTTTTGATCCCTTTAGGTGGCTTCCCTCCATAGAAAACTAGTGCCTTCTTCACACCAACCTTTTGAGTCCCACATGAAGTCAACACTGGCTTATCGGTTCCGGTAGCCTTCCAGTATCCCGACGTTGCCGCCCTGTTCGGCCTCGCTCCGTTCCAATCATATTTTCACAAAAAAGATTATTTTTCTCACTTTTCATGCATACCCTTTTCCATTTAAATAATTTAAAAAATGTATTTTTTTAATTTACCTGGTAATTCCCATGGATCAAACTTGTACAAATCAACTTCAGCAATAATTGCAACCGGCAAAGGAGCTGAGCTAGTCTTTTTCTTGAGATAGTGTACCACTAGTTCCTCATCCGTCGGGTGGAACCTGAACCCCGGCGGGAGATTCGGCTGCTGCGAGCCGGTCGATGAGTCCGTGCTCTCCATTACTAGACCTTCGAATATATGTATATATGTGTTTATATAAATATATATATATATATACAATTCAGTAAATGAATTGAGAGTTTTTTGCTTTGGATTCTGAAAGTTTACCAGAGAAGAACATCATAGAAATTTTTTTAGGGGGGAAAAAATAATGTGGCATAGAGTTGCCATGACCATTTTCTTTATAAATGGGCATTAGAACAAGATTAAGAAAGGTGGGCCAGGATTCAATACACCAAAGTTGCCATCTTTTATTATTTAATCCACCTATCCCGACAAGCCACGTGACCGGTTCGAAGGTTAGTTTGGTCATTTAACCAACGACGTTAAAGAGTAAAATAAAACGGGTTTAATTTTAGCCGAAGAATCTCCATGCACAGAAAACGTTGACAAAAATTACATGCAGGAATAAAAAAAATTAATGTCTGTGTGAGAAAGGAGAGGCTGATGATGGCGTTATTAAACGAAAAAAAAAACCCTCCTTTATTATTTTATTGAAAAAACAATCTCAAACAGTATTAATTGAAAAAATATTACCTAAATTGTCTATGGATGATCTTACGTTCTGTGAAAAGTAAGGTAAGACATCGCGTTCTACAAAAAAACGAGTTTCATACATGTATTGTTGTCTTTATCAATAAATAAACGAGTTTATTTGAAAAGTTGATGAATCTCACGTTTCATAAAACATAAGTTCCATTAAACACGTTTTTGTAGAACATAAGATAATTATACATGAGTAGTTTAGGGTTATTTTTTCAATTAATGCTGTTTGGAATTATTTTTTCAATAAATGTATTTTTTTAGGGTTCTTTCAAAGTAAAAACGCCATTGATGATGATAGTGACGAAGAGGGATTTATCCGATTGATGGTCAACACGTGTAACTCCCAGATATGGGAAAGATCCACACGTGGGAAATACGTGGGGTGGTGGGGACCACACCCCGCACAAGGCAACAAAAGGATAATATGGGAGGGGATTTTGGTGTGGGGGTGGGGGTGGAAACAAGCTTTACGCTTCAGATGTCATGTTTTGTTATGTAAATCCCACCACCCAAACCCCATTGTTTATGGTGATTATAGCAACCACTATTAGCATGATTGAGTTAGAATTGAATTCTAAGAGGTTAATTTATTTTACTTTGAAATGTATATATCTTCAAGAATAATTAAATTATAAAACCACGAGAGTTAAATTTTCAATTAGTCTAATTTTAAAATTAAAAGGATTTAAAAATGTCGATGGTAATGAATGAGTCACAACGGTTATCGATGGTTCATCTTTTTTATTTGGATAGAGAGTCACATTCAATAATTGGATAATTATTGGTCGATATTTAAAATTTGTGTCTCCATAAAGAGGTAAAGAAGAGAAATGAGTTAAGAAGATGGTTCCAAACCATTTTCTCGATCTTGATTGAAAGATTTTATTGTGACTCTTGATGTTTTTGTTAAGCATGTAATTATTCAAACGTCCGTCCCTGGGACCTAATGAAAGCATGATTGAGGTGTTAATGTATTGAGCTTGACATTGGAAGTAAATGATATTTTTGTATGACAGTCGTTATGATTGTTTATTGGTTGTTTGTTGTTGTTGTTTGTCATTTGAGTCTGTTTTAAATGTTACTTTTACACTTGTGTTTAACATTTGTAATCATGTTTTAATGACTTTATTAATGGAAGAGAGCATGTTGAAGTCTCTCAATCTTGTTCCAACCTTTTGTATTCACTTCTCTTTGTTTTCTGGCCTTTCTCATCTCTTTGCATTTGAATCTTATTTTTAAGCTTAATGTTAACAGTGGCATTAGAGCTATTTTCTTAAGGACTGTGAGGTTCCATTGCTGTTAGTGAGTGATTAAATACACTTTGATAGTTTGTGTTTTTGTGAGTGCTTTAAAAATGGCTTTTTCGAATACTCCACAATTCATGTTCCAATTTTCACAGGAACTCATTATCATGTTTGGGCGGTGAAGATGAAAGTCTATTTACGATTTCTTGGCTTGTGGAGAGTTGTAGAAACTGATGAAGATCCACCAGAACTGAGACCAAATCCCACTCTTGCTCAACTCAGAGCTCATGATGAAGAAATGTTGAAGAATGATAGAGCTCTAACCTGTATTTACTTCGGGTTAGCATACCATATTTTTACAAGCATCATGGATCTTGAAACACCTAAGAGTGTTTGGAATAAACTTAAAGAAGCCTATGAAGGAGGTGATAAAGTAAAGAAAATAAAGTTTTCTATGCTGCAAATGAAGGAGGACGAGTTGATCAAAGATAAAACAATGAGGTTGACGGATATTGTAAATCAAATCCGTCTTTATGGTAAAGACTTACTGAATGAGAAAGTGGTGGAGAAAGTCATGGTCAGTGTTCCTCAAAGGTTCGAAGCAAAATTTTCAACTATTGAGGAATCTTGTGACATGTCAAGATTAACCATTGTTGATCTTGTTAGTAAAATAGAAGCACAAGAACAAAGAGTGTCTATGTGAGAAAATGAGGCAAATGAAGGTGATTTCCTTATTGCTCACAAAAAATCGAAGGTTAACAACCTTGGGAAGAAACCTAGAGGCTTGAAGGGAAAGTTCTTTGGTTATTCTACTAGTGGTCAAAGTGGAAAGTTTCCTCCATGTCCGGTTTCTAAGAAAATAAATCATGCTGAAAAGGATTGCAGGTTCAAGGATAGGAGCAAGACCAAATTTCAGTGTTCATTTTGTGATAAGCTTGGCCACACCGAAAAATTTTGCTGGACCAAGAAGAAGCAAGCAAAGAAGCAATCTCAACAACAAGAAAATGCCAGTGAAGTGAACTAAGAGCAAGGCGAACACTTGTTCATGGTTTTTTTGCTGCCGAACTAGCTCACAATTATGTTTGGCTTATGGATAGTGAGTGCACTAGTAAAATGCAACCCCCTATACCCGACCTATGCGTTACAACCAAATCTAGTGAATTACAACAAAAATTTTCCAAAACATTTTTCAACAACTTAAAATCATATTTCGAATAAACATCCTTTAAAATATAGTTAAAAATGTTAAAGTTCAATTCTAGTAATTTAAAAGTCGTCATAAGGACTAAGTAAAATAAAATATTCTGAAACCAGTTTCAAAACAAATCTATCATCAATATCAGAAACATTATAAGTCGTAAAACAAATACTTCCAAAATATATGCACATGTTACCCAAAGTAAATGCAACTCGGAAGATAAATACATTACAACAAAAGGTATTGTACGAATGTGCCGATCCTCCAAGTGCTAAGTTCAGGACGCCTATCAAAAGTATCTAAAAGAGAAAAGTTTTGAGGAGTGAGCTACGAAGCTTAGTGTGTTCCAACAGTGCAGAAATAAACATATAATTAAGATTTCAAAATCAATTTGACATTAAAGTCATGAAACGTCATTAAAGTTTCTAAAATTAGTTCAGTTCCAAATTGTGAAAACGTAGTAGCGTTTTTAGTTAAAATACAAAATCACCCTCCAACCGAACACCATATGCAGTTTTCCAGAACTGCATCCATAACGACTTACCTTAGGCCGGAAAGGCGTAGGTGCTAACCTAAGGGAGCACCTTGGGTCCATAAGGTCTTACCCTAGCCGAAGTGTAGGTGCACACCCTGATGGGTGTGCCCTCAGGCCCATAAGGACTTACCTAATGCACATAGAAGGGGTGTCACCCTAAGGGAGTACCTTAAGGTCTATAAGGCCTTACCACTAGGCCCATTGGACCTAGGAACCCAACCAAGGCTTGCCTTAGGTCCATAAGGAATTACCAGCTCGATCGGTTTAAACCTATATAAGGAATTACCAGTTTGACCAAAGCTGAACTTGAAAAGACTTCATACTAGATCCCAGAGTACCCTAAAAAAGATATTTTTCAGACAACAACCAGTGGTAGTAGGAAATCAGAGTTCAGACATATTTATTTATCAATAAAAACAATAACTAGAGAACATGTGTCAAGCAAGCATGATTTAAAATACAGTAAATCAGGAATCATACTTAAATAAGATAAATCATTACGATAGTCAAATCAGAGCAAATAATTCATTTTAAATAAGAGAAAATAATCATGTGCACATGATATTTCAAACATATATTTCAAAAATATATATGGCACACAGGGAACACACATCGTAAAAAAGAACCAGTCTAGGAGATCTACCGAGCATTGGCTTCACTACGCTCTTCGACTGTATGAGAATCTAAGTTATATCAGAACAAGTTTATAATCGGATTAGTACACTAAACTGAGTATTTAAAAGGGTTGTAGAGCTATATGAGTAATCACGGGATCGCGCTGACGGAAAGATCGGGAGGAACCAAGTCGAGCAGACGAACGACCAGGAGATCCATTAGTACATTAAATATACGATAACATAAATTAGTCATTGACCCTTTAATTAAATCAGATGTACAAAAATAAATACTTAAATTGCATATGCTCGCTCGGGTTTAACGATCAATTCAGAGGCTTTCGAGTTTGAATTTGACAAAACAGACTTTGGATTTGGACCCAGGACGTCGAAAAACATAAAATATGATTTTTCAAAATATTTGACTTTTTGGTCAAAGTTGACTGTCAAAGTCAAAGTCGACGGTCAAAGTCAAAGTTAACAGGCATGTCAAACTCAATAGTTTGGGTCAATGTCAATGTTTTAAACCGATTTGGGTTGACTCAGGTCGATTCAGGTTGACTCAGTTCGGTCCGAGTTGACTCAAATCGGTTTGAGTCAACTCCAACCGATTTTAGGATGCTCTAAGTTTGGTGGCAGCGCATGGTGATAGTGACGGGTCAGGGATGACAGTTGAAACTCCACGTTTGTCCATTTACCAAAATCAATCAAAATCAAACAAAAAATACCAACCAATTTTCCATTCAATCGCGAAATAAATTAAACGGAGTGAAATCGAACTTACCCATGCTGACAACCGATGAAAACAACGATGACAGAGTGACTCAAGGGCTGGGTTTTGAGCGAACAAAGATGGTGAGTCTAACAACGTAGGCGGTGTAGTAAACCAATGGCTAGAATGGCCGGTATCGAGGGAAATAAAGGTTTCGATGAAACTTTGGCGAGCTCCCCACGGCAAACGAAGATGGCTCACAGCGATTGACTATAGAGGTTTTGGTTGGGCTTCGATGACGTTTCTATTGAGGCCGACGATGACGACAATTGGCGATCGACGAAAGAGATCGATGGTGAGGCAAGTCAAACAACTTCCTCACTTCATCGCGACGAATGACGATAACTTCGGGTAAATAGAGTGTTGAAATCGGGTCTCCGGACGATGCAATTCAACTGATGGAGATAGTGCACTACAACGGCGGCCAGAGTAGAGAAGATTGTGGAGGCCGACGGTTGGTGTTAGGGAAATTTTGGGGATTTTGATTCGATGCTAACTGGGATAAATTGATTTTTAGGAATTTCAAATCTCATTTGATATCTAAAAAATATTTTAAAAGGGATACTGGCACAACTAGTTCCCTAGCCTAATGGCTAGGGCATGGCTCCCTATGCCTGTTGGTCACAGGTCCAAATTGTGCCAACCACTCCTTCATTTTTTTGCAAGTAGAGAATGGGCAAATCTCAAGTTGGGTCTCTGAACTTTCAGAGAAATATGAAAATTGGCTTGAAACTTTGGAAACTCACAAACTAGTCCCTAAAATTAATTTAATAAAAATCAAATTAAGATTATTAATGTTAACACAAAATTTTTTGGGGTGTGACAATATGACACATGTGACAGCATACTTTAATTCACTTGATTGATCTTTCAAGATACATGTAAAGTTGGGAAATGGTGCTACGGTTCAAGTTCAAGGCAAAGGTTCGATTTGTGTCAATACTCCTTAAGATAAAAGAACTATTCATAATGTTTTTTTATTCCTAATTTAGAACAAAGCCTGATGAGCATTCCTCAAATGATTAAAAGTGGATTCAATGTTTAATTTAAGGGAGATTTTTGCAATATATTTTAATGTTTGTGGTTCTAAGTTTGCTGAGCTGAAAATGATTAAAAGTGTGAAACCTGTTAGCTTGGAGAGTCTCACAGGCTGCCATTTTCCCATGATGGCATGATAAGAGTTAATCTGAAGTTGGAATTTGTGCATTCTGATTTGTGTGGTCCAATGAAGACACATTTCTTAAATGGAAACAAGTACTTTGTGTTGTTCGCTGATGATTTTACAAGAATATGTTGGGTTTATTTCTTGAAATCTAAGCTGAATGTGTTGACAACATTCAAAGAATTCAAGAAACTTTATGAAAATCAAAGTGACTGTAGATTGAAGGTTTTAAGAACAGAAAATAGTGGAGAGTATGTATCTAAAGAGTTCAATGATTTTTGTAAGGAAGTTGGCATCCATCATCATCTTATTGTTCCTCACACTCATCAGCAAAATGGAGTTTGTGAAAGGATGAATAGAACTGATTTAAACATGTCAAGATGTATGTTCATCGAAAAACAACTTACAAAGTCGTTTTGGGTAGAAGTTGTTGCTACATCAGTGTATTTGTTGAACATGCTAGCAATGGTCTGGATTTAAGCCATTTGTGGAGCATCTTAAAGTATTTGGCTCGGTTTGTTTTAGCCATATAACAACCAATGTGAAGTCCAAATTAGATGAAAGAGCCTGAAAAGGAATTTTTATTTATCTATTCCTCTCAATCCAAGGGGCATAGGGTTTCAATCTAGAAACAAAGATGATTTTTGTAATGAGAGATGTTATTTTTTTATAAAGGTTCTTACTGGAATTGGGAGAAGAATTATGTACAAAAGCATAATATCAGACCTTTGGCTGAAGAAGCTATTACCGTTGATGATGTTGAAAGTAATGAAATTGAAAATGATTTTGCCACGACAAATACAACTAATGCAAAGGTTATTAAAACCAAAACCTTAGTTGGTGTGTATGAAAGATGCAATTTTATCTTTGTTAAACCAACCAGTTTCAATGAAGTTTCAAAAGTATCAGATTGGATTGATGCAATGAAGGTAGAAGTTGATGCAATTGAGAAAAATGATACATGGTTCTTAATTGACCGACCTATTGATAAGAATGTTATAGGTGTGAAGTGTGTGTATAGGACCAAGTTCAATCCTGATGGGATTGTGTTCAAGCATAAGGCAAGGTTGGTGGTAAAAGGGCATGCACAGATAGGTGTAGTTGATTATGGTGACACGTTTGCACCTATTGCCAGACTCGACACCATCAGACTGCTAATTGCTATAGCTGGTCAGATATAATAGAGTGTATTCCATTTGGATGTAAAGTTTGTTTTCTTAAATAGAGAGCTTGAAGAAGACATATATATAAGTCCACCTAAAGGTTTTGTAATTGTTGGAAAGGAACATCACGTATACAAGCTCAAGAAAGCTCTTTATGGCCTGAAACAAGTACCAAAGGCTTGGTATTATCGAATTGATTTCTATTTGCAGAAATTGGGATTTCAAAGAAGCATAAATGAAGCTACTTTGTATCTAAAGAAATGAGAGAATGTTGGTTTGCTTGTTGTTTTTCTCTATGTTGATGATTTGTTGGTAATGGGAAGCAATGTTGAAGTTGTTTCGATATTCAAGTCAAGTATGCAAGAGGAATTTGAAATGTTTAATCTTGGCTTGATGAGCTACTTTCTCGGCATGAAAATAAATTAAAATGAGGGTGATATTTTTATTTCACAACAAAAGTATGCCTTAGATGTTCTAAGGAAATTCAAGTTGGAATTATGCAAAGGAGTTGATTCATCATTGCCTCTTAACTTAAAACTCTCAAAGAATGATAGTGAGAAGCTTAACGATCTTTCCACTT